CCTTGCTGCAGTGACAATGAAAGCATTTGGCACTCAGTCCTTTTGGGCAGGGATGTTTTTTCGTTTTCTAGGGCTGCTGATGAGGTGACGTGTTTTCTGTCAGGGGAAATTAAGAGGCATATTCCCCAGCCTGACAGGAAGAGTGAGCTCAAATGATTTCCTGAGAAGCTTCTGCATGTAGTGTGCAAGATCTCTAATTTTTATTTTGGCTGCAGAAGCATTTCCCTACCATATGTAATTCTAGCATTGCTGTAATACAAATTCCATTATATACATAGGATTGTGCACACACTTGCATACACATACCATGGGCAAGGCTGGGACTACTCTTAGACCCAAAATGCAAAGCCAGATAATATTTTAAAATGATACAGAGACACCTCAAGACTGCATATCACCACTCCTAATGTCTTTTAGACATTAAACTTTTTACAGTTAACGATGTTTATCCTATCAGGCAATCGTTGCTAGGCAGTAGCAGTCTTAGGAAGAGGCAAACAGTCATTTGCAATTTGCTCCCTAATTTCTTTATAACAAATAAAGGCTGTGTTTTATTTCTGTGTCTTGTATTACTTGGGGGCATGTTATTTGTCTGTGTCTCAGCAACCTTATCTGTAAGAAACGATACTTACCTACCATGATTTGTGAGATTAGTATGATCAAGTTTAGACAGTACTAGGTCCAGTCCTCAAGGAGAAGGTGCTTCACACCTTGCAAGTGTTATTCTAGTAAATTTTAAACAGCTTAATTCCTATACTTCTCTCACATTTCAGCCAGGAGGCTCATTTTAACATCATCATCAGGAGGCATTCAATGCAAGTAAGAGTAGATGTCAGAATAGTATATTACCCTTTTTTAGTCACCTATTTCATCTTACATACAACTCTTCACCTTAAGATTCACCTGCTTCTGGAAACAGCATATCCCTAACATCATCGATATGGAAGCATACCCTTTAAAGTGAAACCATACATCTTCATAGCCTGCAACTGAGCCCCAGGAAGAGATGTAAATTTGGATACTGGCCTTTTAGAAGCCCAGAGAGTCAAATGAAGGCTCCAATACCAGGAAAGGCTCTGCACTCTCATTTCAGGACCTTTAGAAAATGAAGCTGTCAGCATTTGAAGGGTGTCCTTTCATTTCTATTACACTCAGTTGGAGACTCTTCACTGACACTAACCAAAGCTTGCTAGGGACCTGCTGGATTTAATTCAGTTCAGGTGTTTTACAGTACAGTGGAACATAACATGTTAATAAGAAGTCTTGCACAGTACTTCGCAGATGATATTTCAATATATAGTGGAC